ACTACTACTACTACTACTACTACTACTACTACGATAACTACTACTACTACTGCTACTACTACTACTACCACTACTACTACTACTACTACTACTACTACGGCTATCACTACCACTACGACTACGACCACTACTCAGCTACTACTACTACTACTACTACTACTACTACTACTACTACTACTTCTACTACTACTACTACCACTACTACTGCTACTACTACTACTACTACTACTACGACTACTCCTACTATTACTACGAATACTACTATTACTACTACTATTACTACTCTTACCATTACCACCGCTGCTACCACTACTGCCACTGCTCCTGCTGCTACTACTAGGCTCACGACTACTACTAGTACTATGACTACCGCTACTACTACTACTACTGCTACTACTACTACCACCACTGCGACTACACTTACAACACTTACTACTATTACTACTACTACTACTACTACTATTACTACTACTATTACTTCTACTACTACTACTACTGTTACTACTACTACTACTGCTCGTACTACGAAAACGACGCCCGCTATTATCACTGCTGCTACTGCTGCTACTACTACTTGTATTCTTGTTCTTCCGATTCTGGATATTACGACTCCTATCACTACTTTGACTACGACTACTGTTACTACTACTACTACTACTACTACTACTACTACTACTACTACTACTACTATTAATACTACTACTACTGCTACTACTACTACTACTACTACTACTACTACTACTACGGCTACGACTACTACCACTACAACTTATACCGCCACCACTAGTAGTAGTAGTAGTAGTAGTAGTAGTAGTAGTAGTAATAGTAGTAGTAGTAGTAGTTGTAGTAGTAGTAGTAGTAGTAGTAGTCGTAGTAGTAGCAATAGTACCAGTATTCTTATTACTTCTACTACTACCACTACTGCGGGTACGCGTATTACTGAAATTATTGCGACTATTCTTACTACAGTTCGTATCACGACTCTTCCAACCACTAGCATTGCATCATATTTCCTACCACTATTGCTCCGACGACTACTACTACTACTACGACTACTAGTGTTACTACTTCTACTACAACTACTTCTCATGCTGAGACGACGGCGACGACCACTACTACTACTACTACTACTACTACTACTCCTACTACTACTACTACTACTACTACTACTACTATTCCTACCACTACCACTACTACTACTATTACTACTACTGCTACTACTACTACCACTACTACGATTACTACTACTACTATTACTACTACTACTACTACTACTACTACTACTACTACTACTACTACTACTACTACTACGACTACGACTACGACTACGACTACTACTTTTACAACTACAACTACTACTGGTACGACGACTACTACTACTACTAGTACTACTACTACTACTATTTTTAATTACTATTCCTACGACTACTACCACTACGACTACTACTACTACTACTACTACTACTACTAATACTAATACTAATACTAATTACTACTACTACTACTACTACTAGTATTATCTGTACTACTACTACTACTACTACTACTACTACTGCTACTACTACTACTATTTTTATACTTACCACTCAGACTACAGCTGCGATTGTGACTACGACTACTATGAACAGTACTACAAGTTCGACTTTTGAATCATTTCCGAGCAGTGGCCAACCTCCAGCCGCCACTCACTAGACATTCCGGCCTCTGGACTTCGGCACACGACGTCCCACCTACACCGCGACTCTCCAGACTCCACCAACCTGTCGCCCCAACAACGACCTCCAGCGAACACCAGCTCTACTCTCTGGCCCCCAGCTGGCACCCACGCCAACGCTTACACCAGCGCCGACGGCAGCACCGACGCCCGCACCAATGCCGGTGCCCACGCCGGCTCCAACACCAGCACCTACAGCAGCCCCTACGCCAGCACAGACGCCAGCGCCTACGCCGACACCGACGCTGGCGCCCAAACCAGCACCGCATCAGCACCGCACCAGCACCAACGCCGACACCCACGCCAGACACATGAATTCCAGGCAGCTTGTTACACGTTTACGACTGGGCATTCCATCGGCCACGCGGCGGGGACACGGTAGCTTGCACCACACATTAGGGCTCGCCTGGCCGCCCTTGCACAAACGCCAGCGCCTACACCAGCGCCGACGTCAGCACCGACTCCACCAACGCCGGCCATCTGACGACAACACACCAGAGGATGCATTAATCAAGCATGGCCGCGAGGACAAGGATTGACCAAGACAAGGGCGACCGACTGATTCCGCTGCCCCTCCCAATGTCCACTTCCCTCTGTCTTCCCACCCCCACCTCCACTGCCTCACTGGCGCCAGCACCAACGTCGGCACCTTCGCCAGCGCTGACGCCAGCACTGACGCCAGCTCCTTTACCAGTGCCGACGTCAACCCCTATGCCAGCACCACCGCATGCGCCTAACAACACCAGGGCGCCGGTGAGCTGACCAGCTGACCGGTACGCGTCAGCATCAGCACCAACGCTGGCGCTTTCGCCAGGGCCGACGCAAGCACCGACGCCAGCATCAAGGCCTGCGCCCTCGCAGGCATCAACGCCGGTGCATAAAACAGCGCCGACGTTAGCCCCTACGCCAACACCAATACCCCCGCCTACGCCGACACCGACTTGGCGCACCAGGGAGCTGACCAATTGACCCGTGCACACCGGCGCCCGCACCAACGCCTGCACCTCACCAGCGCCGACGCCGGCACCGTCGCCACTTTCAACGCCTTCGCCTATACAGCGCCTCCGTCGGCACAACGATGAGCCGAGGGGACGATGGGGACGAGCAGATGTCCAGATCGACGGGGCTGAGCACTCCCACGGTGTGCATCACGACGGAGATTAGCACTTTCTTCAACGTGGCTGTCCTAGTCTTCATCTTCGTGGAATCTCTGATCAAGATCTGACGTAGCGATCCCGCTGTCCCGTCATAGAGGCCAGGCAGGCGGTGAGTTCTCTGAGCAGCCGGAGCTCTCCGCTTCCCCTGGTCCTCTTCTCCCTCCCCCTTTTTCTTATTGGCTGCCACCCCAAGGGTGCGTCCGCTCTGCGCGTCCCGCCCCTATGTGGTAGGACTCGGGCCGGCCTTGCTGGGGTCACCCAGGCTGATATCTGATTGCACCGCTGGCGAATTCGGTTTCCTCCCTCCTCCCTTCTCCTTCCTCCTCCCCTCCTTCCTTCCTCCCCCTTGGTGTTGCTCTTGCTCGCGAGGGTTACTGCGCGGGTGCCGTCTTCCTGGATCGGCCCACGCACGCGCGAATTTCTGTTAGGGTGTGTTATCCCTCCTCCTCGTCCCCCTCCTCCTCGTCCGCGCTCCCTCCTCTACCTCCTCCTCTTGGGCATCTTTTGTGCGGATATCAGAATGTGTTGCCATTCGACGTTTAACCTTGTCGCGCCAGTCTTGGACACATGCCCGGGCAACAATTGTTACGGGTAGCACTTGCCTGTCCCGGCCGCGTGGCCGAGACAGTCTCGCGGTGCCTCTTGCGCGCTGACGCTTCGGGGGATATACAGCACCAGTAATGTTGAGGTAGTAGTGGGCGCAAGCTGTTTTTACAGCTTGAGCGCTGGTTTGGGCGCAAACTGCTTTAGCAGTTTTAACGCCGGCTGTGTCGCAACTGCTTTGGCTAGAGTTATCTTGCTTTGCCAAAAAATAGTACTACTATTAGTACTAATCCGATATTACTATGCTTGTTATATTTTTACTCGTAATATAACGGCGCGTATTACAAGTTCGAGAAATACGTCGACTACGGCTACGACTAATGGGAGCAAGCGATGAGAAATATAGTTTCGCCGGCCTGTCGCCCCCGCCCTAGGGGAGGGGTGGAACAGGCCGGGTGGAGAATATCGGGCTGTCTGGTGGGCCAGAAGGGGCCCATGAGGCCGCCAAAAGTTTGCGAACCACGGCGTTCAAGAATAAGGTGTTTTGACCTTCTCCTCCTCCTCCCCCTCCTCCTTCTCCTTCTCCTCCTCCTCTTCCGCTTCCTCCTCCTCCTCCTTCTCCTGCTCCTCCCAGTTGCCGCGGTCGTTCGTCCGCGAGGGCGACGGCGCCGAGCAGAAGGAGGACGACGAGAGACGACGACGACGACGAGAACGAGATATGCGGGGACGCCGATAAGAGCGAGGACGAGGACGAGGACGACGATGACGACGATAGACGACGACGGCGGGCGACGACGACGACGAGGCCGACGGCGACGACGACGACGACGACGACGACGAGGACGAGGATGAGGCCGAGGACGAAGACGCGGACGAAGTCGATAACGACGACGACGGACGACGACGACGCCGACGACGACGACGACGCACTGCGGATGCCCGATTTTTGGGGGGTTGCTGTGCAGGTCCGCTGTAGTCGACGACGGTATCATGGGGGGAGGGGTGCTGGGTGCTACGCAGGCCCGCTGTAGTCGACGACGGTAACGACAACAGCAACGATGACGACGACGAGGACGCACGGCGACGACGATGACGACGACGACGGCGACGAGGACAACAAGGACGAGGATGAGGACGAGGACGAGGACAACGACGACGGACGACGACGGCGACGACGATCACGACAACGCATTGTGGATGCCCGATGGTGGGGGGATGGGGTGCTGCGTACGCCTGCTGTAGTCGACGACGACGACGGCACGACGACCGACGACCGACGACGATGACGATGACGACGACGGCGACGGCAGAAAATTTGCCGGGGGCAGGCGATTAAATTTCAGGTCTGGTTGTTGGATCTTACCAGTCAGCCCAAATCATTTATTTTGAGGCCCCCGGGCGGGAGCATGTTTTAATCGATTGTTCCCATTACGACGACTATTTTGGCTGCTGCTGCTATGCATAACCTTCCTACTTCCAACACTCAAGAAGCGTGCGCCACTCCACCGGCCAAAGAGGAGGACATGTGCGGCTGCTAGCTTCCGACTTTGTGTGTTTATGTGTGTGCGGTCGAACACAGCGGACCAATGGGCGGCGCGCAGACTGCTCAGTGGGCGGAACTGACCGCGGCGGCGCGCGCACTGAGTATGGCGGGGGGGCTGTTCGACGTCGTCACCGACTCCCGCTTCGTCGGCCGCGGCTTGGCGGCCATCCGCGACACCAACAACACACCAGGACGTGTCATAGATCAATGCCATACGACCCGAACCCACATCTATGACACACACTGGAATCTTACGTCAACATCACAAGTCACAAACAGTAGTATCGAACACACGCCAACAGCGTACATCACTACCAGACACCGAGGACACACATCAAGAACATACAAGAATAACACACACCAAGGACAATCGTTAATAACATATATTTCATTTTACGAAGAGCCATTGTTGGGGAACGGCCGGGTCGGGAGACAAATCTATACAGATACATGCAAAGATGTACTTATACACGGTTTGGGGAACCAATCTATTTGGACCTCGGGAGGCCCTTGATATGGCCCGCTTGGGGACTCTTGGGGCCTCTCGGAGCTGCCTTGGAAATGTCTGTGTGTGTTTGCCCTGGCAATGCCCTGGAGCGTACCAGATAAACGTATTTGGGTCCAAGAGCGCCTCAGAGCCGTTTTGGCATTCCCTGGCTTGTCCCTTCCAGTTTTAGAAATCGCTACCCAGGTTCGGCGTGTGTGAGAGAGGGGGTCATCTCATTCGCCGTTGGGCCCCTGGGATCCGAGCGGATTATATCGGAAAGATCAAGAACCAGAGCACTGTGTACGTTATCAGCAGCGCTCTCCCAGACTTCATCGGCAAGGTGTGGCATACAATTCCGAGGGACATCTCGTTTGTGCTTGTCACTGGCGCAGCAGTGACATCGGTGCCGTTTGATGATAAGAAGCCGCCCAAAGGAGGGAAGTTGCTCGGATGGACTCAAGAGGAGTTCGCACATTTCATCAATGACCCTCGCATTTCGCATTGGTTTACACAGAATGCTGTGGCCCGGCATCACAAACTGACTGCCATCCCACTTGGCATTGATTACAGGTGGCTGAACAGGATGGGCAGTGGTAAAGGTCACATTCCCGGGCACGCTTGGGGTGATCACATGACGCCTCAAGAGCAAGAGAGTCAGTTTCTCGGCGTCATAAAAGCCCAGAAACCATGGCGAGAACGAGAGTCGGCAGCCTATGCGGATTTTCATTTTCAAATGGACAGCAGAGGTGGGTCTGGGTCTCGCCAACATGCTCTCCATTCCCTACGGCAGACCAAATATAAAGATTCGATGCATTGGGCGACTAAGAGACGCGATCGCGTGGACGTTTGGAAGGAGTATGGGAAACACAAATATGTGGTTGCACCAGTTGGCGTTGGCTTGGACTCCTATCGTGTCTGGGAGGCGTTGATCCTCGGCTCGATCCCCATCGTGCCCCGCAGCGAGCTCGCTGACAGCGAGCTCTACGAAGGGCTCCACGTAAAGCGAGTCATCCAATGGAGTATGGTCGACGTGCCTGGCTTCATTGAATCCGCGACGTCATCGATGGACAACTCCTCGCAGGAGGTTGGCGGCGCGCAAGCAGGGGGCGGGGCGGGTAGGCAGTGGGCTTCTTGGAGGCCCTCCTGTTCTCGTGGGACCCTTCGTATTCTAAGAAGGGTCCCAAGAAAACAGGAAGCTCTAAGAGACGGATCGGAGGCGTCTAACAGACGCCTCCGATCCTTTCAAGGAGCCTCATGCGCCATGCGTGTTCAGAACGGTTCGAGGGACAAGGAGTATAGTTTTTTTTTTTTTTTTTTTTTTTTTTTTTTTTTTTTTTTTTTTTTTTTTTTTTTTTTTTTTTTGTTTTCTTTTTTCCATTATTTGATGCCCGGGAGCCAACTGTAGGCCACTTCGTGCTCTTCGACTTCCCAGAACTCCATTCCCGGGCCACATTTTGGATGCCCGGAGCCAACTGTAGGCCACTTCGTGCTCTTCAAGTTCCCAGAACTCCATTCCTGGGCATGATTTTGAATGCCCGGAGCCAACTGTAGGCCACTTCGTGTTCTTCTAGTTCCCAGAACTCCATTCCTGGGCCACATTTTGAATGCTGAGGCAGGCTGATGCTGCGGCGAGGCAGGCTGAGGCTGAGGCAGGCTGAGGCTGAGGCCGAGGCTGAAGGCAGACTGAGGCTGAGGCTGAGCAGGCTGAGGCTGAGGCTGAAGGCAGGCTGAGGCTGCTGAGGCAGGCTGAGGCTGAGGCTGAGGCTGATGCAGGCTGAGGCTGAGGCAGGCTGAGGCTGAGGCCGAGGCTGAAGGCAGACTGAGGCTGAGGCTGAAGCAGGCTGAGGCTGAGGCTGAGGCAGGCTGAGGCTGAGGCAGGCTGAGGCTGAGGCTGAGGCAGGCTGAGGCTGAGGCTGTGACTGCGACTGCCGTTGCCGCTGCGACTGTCATCGCGAATGCGACTACGACTGCGAGAACAGCAGAATTCTACAACTGGATTTTCATCTGAATCTTAAGGGGAATGCTTTCATATATGCTTCTACACATCGCTGTTCGGTTGCTTTGCCAGGATATTTTTTCCGGAGGGGGTAGAGCCCAGAGCCGATGGTTGGTGTTGCCGCCAGTCTCTTCGGTAGTGTGTTGCAGCTTCGCACAGGGAGGCCCTCAGCATGTTGAAACTGGCATGCGCCCCTCACGCAGGTTTCGATTCGACGGCCCGAAAGCCCAATGCTCAGAAGCACAGTGGTGTTCAATGGGGTTGCACTTTTTGTTGACAGGCCAGTGGGTTTTCAATATTCTGAGCCGTGTCTTTCAACGTGCCTACTTGGTTGACTAGCCATCAGTAAGATCAACGGTGTTGCACCTGCTGATTTCAAGCCAATGTATGTAACAGCAGTTGACTTGGGATGGTTGCCCGACGCAATTGCTCAACGTATGCCCAAAACTGTTTGCAGGCGTTCTTGTTCAACACAGTTGCCCAAATTATTCACAAGGGCACTGTTGACTTAACGGTGCTGCACTCCCCATGTCGCTGGTCTCGCCGTTCGAGCATGCTGCCAACATTCGTGCTTTCATCCACCCTCTCGATTCCCAGAAATCCGAGGCCGTGATTTTTTCACAGCCTGCATCCCCCGGGGTCTTCCCCCTTCCCCCAGGACTGGCACTCCTATCCAGATGGTTGATTTGCGGTCCTTGGGCCCGGCCAGAGTCTTGAGCGGCTGGGAAGTTTCTCATTGCTAGATTTGTTTCTGTTGGATTCTCAGTACTGAAGAATGATTATTGTTGATCCACTCCAATAACACATGTGCTTTTTCAGTTGAAGTGCCCTCCCCGGGGCTCGCATTTTGTTTTTGTATCAGGGAGGGTCTTCCTCCTAAAACTGCGTTGTTGGCCCCCGAACTGCAACAATAACAACGGCTCCCGGCTGACACCTCCTCACAATATATTCCTAAGTCGCGCTCTCGCGCGGGACTTCCTCTCAATTTGTTCAGGGATCGCGCTCTCGCGTGGGACTTCCTCGGAATTTACTCAGGCGCCGTGCCCTCGACATTCAGGAGTCACGCTCTCGCTGTGGATTTCCTCACGATTAATTTGGGAATCGAGCTGTCGCTCGAGACTTCCTCGCGATTCATGCAGGACGCACGCTTCAGCAACCCGCCTGCTCGACCTGGCCGCCTGGGCCCTCCTTCCCGACCCGCCTGGTAGGGTCTACCCGCCCGATCTGCCCGTCTGGTTCTGCCACGTGTTTTCTGCTCCTAGCCCCCCTCCTCCTAGTCTCTCTCGTGCTCCATCCTCCTCCCTCCCCCTTGTCCCTTGCTTCCACCCGTCCTCCCTTCCCCTGCCTCAGGGGCTGCGCGAAATACAAGAGAGAGATACCCCCAAGGGGGCACGGTCGAAGACGAAGAGGGCGGGTATCGAGGGTTCGGGATATACGTGTGGAATGGTACGCGAGCAGATAAGATCGAACAGCCTTAAATTTATTGTTGGTGTGGTTGGTGTTTTTTTTTTTTTGCCAACGGCGCGAGGAAAGGTTTGTATGAGGCTGGACACGGGGGTGCCATTTCTTGAGTAGCTAGAATTCCGTGCCGTCGAGGGAGAGCCCGTCTTCAACGAGAAGCTGACGCTGGAATATTGGCTTCGCCTGATCAGGGAGGCCGCGGTGAGAGGGCCTCCTTCCCGTCCGCAGCTCTAGGCTTGCGCAGCTTTTCCTCCCCCGCCTCTTCCTCACCCTTCTCCACTGATCCAAACATGTGACCGCGAATCCTGCCTCGACTGCGAGCATCTGACTGTCGAAAACCAGAACGCGGTTGCGCTGTGCAGCTTGTCCACGTGAAGGTATACGCGCGCTCCCTCCCACGACCAGGTCGTGTTCTTCCTGCTCCACCTTCTCCTCGTTTTCCTGCTCGATTTTTCTTTTTGGAGAATAAATAAAAGCATCATCATCATCATTTGTTTTAGCTCCTCACGGGGTTCTTGGATCGGCGCTGGGCCCCCTCAGCGGCGCCCCTGGCGCGCTCCGCGCGCCAGGAAGGGGGTCCAGCGCCTATCCAAGAAATCCGAGCTAACCTCAGAGAATATATGTTCCAACCGTTTTTCTTCAAATCTTTAGTTTGTTGTCCTGCTTGGTTTCCTCCTGCTCCCAGGTTTCTCTGGCCCTCGACTTGCTGCCCCCTCCTCCCCTACTCTTCCTGCCACCCCCCCTCCCCCTTCAGTTCCTTTCTCCGTCTCCTCCGCCCCCTCCCCAGGACCTCCTCGCGTCGTAAGAACAGGTCTCTGGCAATATTCTGCCCCCCCGGAGGAGCCTCGCCGGCCCCTGGGCTGTAAATCAGATTCCCGGAGTGGAGAGCTGGTCCTGGAGAAGGGCTCTACGTTCTGAATCGAATCGCGACGCTGGGGGTCTGTTCCTCATCATCCTCGATCTCCCTCCCGCCTCCTCCTCCTCTTCCTCCTCCTGGGCGACAGTTCTTGAGTGGTGCCGCCTCCTGGGTCACAGTCTTGAGCGGTGCCGCCTGTGCCGTTTGCGGCCTGGGGCTCCGCTGCGAGACTTTGTATGGTAGTGTGTGTTGTCGTCGTCGTCGTCGTCGTCGTCGTCGTCGTCGTCGTCGTCGTCGTCGTCGTCGTCGTCGTCGTCTCCTCTTCTCGGCCCTCGGCCCCGCGTGTTACCTAGGCCAGCTCGATATTAGATACTCTTCCAGAACGTGGGCGCAGATTTCTGCAGTCGGGCGCTTAGCCCCTGCACTGGTGGCAACTGGGGCGCCGCCCATGGGGCGCGAAACGCGGGAGGGTTGCGTGTGTCCAGCGTCGACCCCAGAATTCCGCGCGGACCTCCGAAAATTTATCACGTGCCTGGCGTTTCCTGTTTGTCAGATGCCGTTACTGGTTGTGGAAGGGGGAGAGGAGGAAGGAAAAAGGACGTCCACCGATAAGAGTGATGCTACTCCAGTGTTTTTTTGAGCTTTTGGGGGGCTTCTGGAGGCTTCTGTCGGGCGGGGCCCGGACCGTGATAAATCGTTGCAGAGCGTTCTGGAACGTTCTCAGAGCGTTCTGGAGCGCTCTGGACTGGCCGCCAGATTTCAAAGATCCCCGAGTTTGTCCCGGCCCGATTTTGTCCCCGTCCTGGCTTCGTCGTGCTTGCTCTCTGGAGTCCTCTTTGGGACTTTTGGAGACCTCTGGTCGTTTCTCGCCCCCTCGAAGCGGAAGCGTCGACGCTAGAGGAACAAGAAAATGCATAAAGATAGTGTCTCGGAGGTTCGCTCGGATTTCTTGGATGCACACTAAGCCCCCTTTCCTGGTGCCAGGGAGGAGGGCCCGACCCAACACCAATCCAAGAAGTCCTCGCCGACCTCTGAGAAATTATATGTTTTTTGTGCTTTCCTTGAGGTGCAGTGACACTCCAAGGCTCAGAGCACCCTCCGCGGGCCCGTTTCGGGCCAAAGGGGGTTGCAACAGAAGAGGGCCCCGCGACCTCTGGCAGGCTCGCGCCTCCTCAGTGCGGAGACGCCGATTGGAGGAGGACAGCGGTGCAGGTTCACCTCGCTCCTCCATCCGGCGGAGCCTCTGCACACGTGCGGAGGCCCAGGCGGTGGAGAGCGCCGCGCGCTTGAGGTGACGGATGCCAGGGCCCGCGCCCGGCCAGGCAGGGAATGTAAATTCTTGACGCTTCGCGTGTCCCCACCAGGTTCCGTAGCCCTCTGGCTCAAGTACGAAACCGTCGCCCTGCGGCTTCGTGCTTGTCTGCTGCCGAGGGGCTGGCCCGAGGCGTGCGCGCCTGCAGCAGGCTTTCTTTCTTCTCGCACGATCCCCACGGTGAGCCCTCGCGCGGCCGTGGGTCTCTGTGTCGCAAGCCTCGCTTTGATGTCGCCGTCGGCGCGCACGGCTTGCCGGCGGCAGCAGCGGCGGGCGGCGGCCGCACGCCGTGCTGGCACCGCCGGCGCGGCTGCCGTGGCCGCCGCGGCGCCGCCGCCTAGCCTGCCGCTGCACTTGGCTGCCGCCTGCGCCGCCCCCGCCGCGGCGGCCGGCTGCTCGGCCGGGGCCGCCGCCGCGGCCGCCGCCGCGGCCGCCGCCGCGGCCCCTGCTGACCCCGAGCATCAGAAACTACAAGATCTTGACGTCTTACAATTATTGGAGGTAAACCTCAAATAATTGTCTTGCCTCCAATATATGGGGTCGGCAACAATTATTGTAGTTCCCCACATCTTCCCACATGTGTTAGAATATATACATATATACGCATACATACATATATGTATGTATACATATATGTACACATTCTTAACACATCTGGGCTGGAATGGATTGAACCAAAATGGCGACTGCACGAAGCTTGAGCCAAAATGGCGACTGCACGAGGACGAGGAGGAAAGGAGAGGGAGAGGAAGGGAGGAGCGGCAGCAGGGGGAAGAAGAGCAGAGCAGCAGCGGGGCGACGACGACGACGACGACGATGATCTTCAAGTTTGGACAAAGGGGAACTCCTGAATTTCCTTTTTTTCCAAAGTGCTCCAGACGACGACGACGACGACTACGACGACGACGACGACGAAGACGACGACGACGACGACGACGACGACGACGACGACGACGACGACGACGACGACGACGACGGGGACCAGTGGACTCCCCGAGAGGCCCCAGGAGCCCCGTGCGACGACGACCACGACGACGACGACGAAGGTTCTTATCATAGTTTATCTCTCCCTCACTGTCCCTCCATTCCTCCCTCCTCCATCCCTTTCCCCTTTTCCTCCTTGGCGCCGCCCTCGACAGTTAGCTGGCGCCGCCCTCGACAGCCCAGCCTGCCAAGAGCTTAGCCATCTCCCAGGTATCCTCAGGGGCGTGCCTGAAGGACATCGTGACTCCACCCTTGTTGTCGATTTTCTGCTCGACGGTCGGGGGCACGTGATCCACGTGAGAAATGTAGAAAGCCTGGACGTTCAAGATGACGGATATCTTGGAGATCTCATCCTCACGGCTCAAGGTGTACGACTTCCTGACCCCCAGGCCTGGACCAGGGAAGTGGGCGTCGGGCGGCAGCTTCATCATCACGTCGACGAGCGACGATGGCTCAGCCGCGGCCTTGGCTGCAGCTTTGGGCTTGGCCTTAGCTTTGCCCTTGGCCTTCCCTTTGGCCTTAGCCTTGGCCTTCCCTTTGGCCTTGCCCTTGGCCTTCCCTTTGTCCTTGCCCTTGTGCGTGCCGTCCTTGAGCTCGGCCTCGTCCTCCTCCGCCTCGTCGTCGCCGTCGCCAGGGTGACCGCGCTTCAACTTCGGAGCAGTGGCGGGGATCGCTGGGCGCAAAATGAATTGCCCATGGGGTTCCAAATGAATCCCCATGATCTCCGTGCTGTAGGTCTCGTCGGTGATGGGGAAATGGGCAACGATGAAGCCGATCTCGTCTACCGTGTACTTGTCGGCGATGACGCACCTCCCGTCGCTCATGAGCATTTTCGCGTAGCAGACGCGGTCTCCCATCACGATGCTCGAAGTGATAGGAACTGGCTCGTCGTCCACCTCGAGGTCGTTCTCGTCGTTGTCGTGCTCGTTGCTTTGGAAACTCAAGAAGGGATTATCGCACTTGGCCCTCGCTTGCTTCGAGGGCGACTGGGCGAACTTCTCATAGACTGCAACGAGGCCTGCAGGGTGTTCTCGGGCCTGGTCTGCGGGTCTTGGCAACTTACTCCATTGCTTACGCTTGATCCTCACGTGGGCCAACATGACCCTGATTTTGTAGGCAACCTCGGTGATGCACCTCCTCTCGCTAATCATGCGCGTCATGGCAAGGCCCTTAAATCCAGCATTGAAGTCACCCTCCTCGGACAACGATTTAAGCGCAGACTCGACGGCGAGCTGCGCAAAGAAGCCCCCGCGGACATCGAGAGATGTGAGAGGTCCGAGTATGTTGGCAGACCACTTCTCCAACGTATCCGTATCGATGCCTATTTTCATGTCGTCGGACGCGTAGCCGAGACCTCCCTGGCACAACGCGGCCTTGAAACCATCAGCAATCACTGTCTTGATTGCCTCGCTCGTGCTCTGGCCATCCGGAGCCGTCCACACTGAGGTGCGCATAGTTCCCCCCCACTATGGAGCACCGCGATCGAGCCCAAATGGCTATGAGTGCAGAGGGGGTGGGGGAGGACAAGAGCGCGTTCAGGCCAGTAAGTCGGACGGCCTCGACAGCAATGAACGGTAGGTGGTACCTCGGCTTTGGGTTTAAAGACTGAGCGGCAGCGACGCTCTCTCTCACCACATGGAATACAACACACGCAGCAGGGTCAGGGTGCAATCTATGCCGTGCAATGGCGCAATCTATGCGAGAGGGTCCCGACCCCCCCTCCCGACTTTAAACAACATGGATTCCCGATTTCGTTTCCCGATTTTTTCTTTCAAACTCGGGCCCAACGCTTCCGCTCGACAACCATGTATGATTAGAGGTTGCTATGTGGTGCAATCTGCGTGCGTGGTGCAATCTATGGGGTGATGTGTGATGTTTGTTGTTGGTGTGTGCTGTGTGATTTTCGTTGCTAGCTGGCGTGTGTTGTGTGATGTTTGTTGCTGGTGTGTGCTGTGTGGTTTTTATTGTTGTATTACGGTTCTGCGGGGGATCAGGGGTGCGTGTTTTTCACAGCGCGTTCAAGATTCCCCAGTGAAAACGGGCTGATCTCGAGTGATCACGGTCGACACTCATGAGCGTGGCACGCTTGTGGCTAGCAGGGCACGTAACACCTAAGTCTTACACCCTGGATCGTCCCTCGACCGATGTATTCGGCCTCACTTCGAGCTGCTCTTGGCGAACTCCTGGAGGCACTCCTTGGAGTACAGCTTGTACGCGGCCATGAGCTTAGCCGCCTGAGCCTCGTACTCGTTGGCTTTCACGTTCAGGGCATCTGCGTCGATGTCCGTGTCAGGCTTAGACTTCAGGGTGGCCACGAGCGTAGATGCCTTTGCCCAGCTGTCATGAAGCTTGCCGTTCTGGTTCTTGACCTTGGTCGTCTCATCCTGCAAGAACTTGAGGGGCCCCGTCGCATCCCACTTCTTCTCGCGAAGCCTCTGCTCCACCAAGCAGACCTTGCCCAACTCAGAGTTGACCTTGTCGTGCGTGGTCTTCATGTGGGACACCGCCGCCATCAGGTTCTGCACGGCTTGCTGCTCCTTCGAGGGGGGCTCGGCGTTGCCAATCTGCTTCTTGGCGCTGCGCTTCGGTGGCTCGGAGAAGCCTGGGTTCCGCGAATCCTCCATGTGAGCTTTCACGTCCTTGTAGGTCTCAGCGCCCACGTCCGCCGTGATGTCCACCTCCGACCCGTTGACCAAGGACTTCGCATTCTTTGCCCAATCAGCATTCCACTTGTAGACGAACGCGTTGGCATCGGCGAGGGCTTGGTTCTTGTGCAGCTTCTTCGGGAGGCTGGTGATCGCGATGCTCGCCAACCTCGGGCAGTTCAGCCAGTTCGGGCCAGCAAGCTGTGATTCAGTCAGCCAAATCTCAATCTCTTCCTCGGTCTTGGACGTGGTCCGTTGAGTCCAGTTGCGGCCGAGGCATCCGCCCTTCTCTGGGTCCAGCATGTAGTCAGCAAGCCACTCGCTGAGTTCCGAGCGGTCGCGGATGTTCTTGTACTCCTGGAATTTCTCTGGGTTGGAGGTCTGGAGCGCGTTCCTCATGGCAGTGAACGCCTTCTGGCGCTTTCTAGAGTCTGCAGCGGCAGCAGCTTCTGGCGAGATGCCGTTGCCCTCCTTCTCGACCATCTCCTTGAACTCCGCGACAGCCTTGGGAAGATCGGTCGCCTTGCGCTTCGGCCCCATTGCCTCGCGAGCGCCCGAGGGTCGCACTGCGCCGAAGGTTTCGAGGCCAGCTTGATCCAGAACCGGCTGCGGGGAAGTGGATGAGAGGGCGAGGAAGAATATCATAGTCCACGGGGCCCGCACTGCCAGGGCTGCCGACGCCGCCACCTGAATCCCATAATAAACATTATGATAAACATAGGCCGTTTTTAAGAATATAGATTCGCCCCGCCTGATACATTCGTAGTTTCTGAATGCTTATTATAGATTTTTCCCGTCGTATGTTTATTATAGCCGCCCGTGCCCCCTTCCTCCGTGCGCGCCTCAGGCCGCAGCAGACGCCCGCCGAGGAATTGCCTACGATAGGAGACAGCCTGACGGGTCTCAAGCTCTCGAGATGGGGGATGGCCCCTTGCCCTCTAGAGACATCGACGACGACGACGACGACGACGACGACGACGACGACGGGAATCACTGGAATTCCGCAGAGGCCCCAGGAGCCCCGTGCGACGACGACGACGACGACGACGTCGGGTTTCTAATCAAACAACCCCTCAGCGTTTGACAAGACTGCTTCAAGGTCAATCAGTGCATCTAATGCTTCACCCCTAAGCCCAATGTGCCCGATTTCTGCTGCATCCTCATCGGGGGCGTCCTCGAGCTCGTCGTCGCGCCTTGCGAGAGGCACTGGATCTGGATTGGGGTCGTGCTCTGGGATCTCCTCCACCGAGTCGCTGGACACGGACATGGCAGCCTCCACGTAGTCGCAAGGGGGATCCACTGGACGCGCCACGTCGTGGTCGTCCCACACTGCACACACGATGCTTTGAATGTGAAATCTCATATCCACCAGTAGGAATGGCTGGCCATGTACTTGACAACGTGTTCCTGCCATGAGCCTTGCAGCCTCCGTGCACACGTTGTCGTCGAGCGTCAGGCCGCGCTGCATACACATCCATGCAGGCAGAAACTCAGCGCCGCGACGACTTGGGGCCCATCGCATCCTACGGTCTGCTTCTTCAGCTGCGAACTGCACGGGATCTTGATCTGATTCTGACACAATCACAACTCTCGGACAGCATAAGGGTATGATGCGAGCCCAAGGTTGCTCTTGACTCCACTCGGGCGCTGCGTCTCGTACTGGCTGTGGGACTGGTTCGGGAACCGCGGGGAATGCGTGTAGATTTGCCAGCGCGTCGTTGTGGTTTGGCTCAGTCCTGGACAAATGACACGGATCACACGCAATCTTCGAATTGAGGCATGACAAATGGAATTCATGCGTGCATGGCCACCGCCACGTGCTCTCTGAGAGAGGGCAGAAACATATGGCGCAATTAGCTGTCATCTCGCATGGGCCAATGGCTACGGACGGTAATGAAGCGAATGAGTGTTCACCCTGGGCTCTCCCGAGGCCCGTCGGGCTCGCTCGACGGCGGCGCTTTGCCTAAGAGGCCCAAACATACGCCCAACCCCGAGGGTGTTATGCTACATGAGCCTCCATCGATGCAATTTCGTTGGGTCTCTCTCGAACGGCGATGGCAGACTGCAGAAGATAAGCATTCGTGCTCTGTGACGGGCGGCGACGGGCGACTGCGCAAGACGGGCGGCGACGGGCGACTGTGCGCAGCGCCTCGCCTGTTTGCAACGCCGCTGTCCATAGAACGGGGCGGAGGGCGAGGTGGAGGGGGGGGGGGAGGCAGGAGGTGAGATCCAGGAAAGTCACTGTAGGCATTTTCCACGCGGGGGGATTAAGGGCAGGAGGGGAAGGGGGGGAGGAGGGCATCATATGTTTAAGTGTGTATTATGTTCGATCCTGGCTGGGTCTACCAAGGCATGACGCGGTGCTTGTCGATTACACTCCTATGGAGTGTCCCTGGGTGCATCGACTCCGCTACCCTAACTGCAGCCCCTATTTCGCTTTCGTCAGCATAGCACCACGAATTACGGGGGCCCCCCCCCCTCCCGCACTTGATGCTCCACACAATGTTGCAACAAATGGTGCTTAGGGTAAAGCTTGTACAGGAAAAAACCCCGCCTCTGCCAACCGCGGCTCTCTAAATCTTCCTGGTTTAGTTCGCCATAGGCGATCAACGCTTGCCGACTGACCCTACGCAGGAGAGCAGGACTATCGGGCCCCCACGCTTCAAGAATATCGTAAATCTGTGCAAAACACCTAACTGCAGCCAGCCTAAGTTGGGCATGTGCCGAATCAGTTGACACGAAAGTTTGAAGCATGAACCTAAGGCATGGGATGAGATGCCTACCCTCCGCCGCCTTCGTTTTGAGTTTTGGGGCTCCCTTGCCTTTGACCATGCCCCAGGTAAGCTTGTTTATCGGCGGCCGTTCTTGCCCAATCCGCCTGGGCGATTGCTTGATCAATGTGACGATGTACGCTAGCTGTTCGCTTGGGTTGGTCACGCGGCCACCTAGCTCAATGAATACTTCGTAAATCACGCATCCCATCAAGTACTGGAGCACCCCCAAGTCAAGAGTGTGCATGAGATCAATTGAAATGTACGAGTAATCAAACGATGGGAGCTTGAAAATGCTTGACACAAACAACCCATCACTGAAACACGACCGCATGAAGAGCCGATGGTTGAAACACGTTTGTCTCCACACTGCTGTTTCGTAGAAGTCGGTGAATGGCACAGTGGACTTGTTGGCCATGCATTTGTAACAAGTTCGGCCTCCATCGCCCCATCCATGCATGCCCAGCGCCCCTTTCATCCACGACCAATCTCCCCTCTTCTGCACGACGCCGCCACATACTAGTAAGCGGCGGCCAGATGCAGCTGTGCTAGCCCTATGCTTGTCCCCGCGTTTTGTGGACTCGCTGAAAGGAACGCCATCGTCTCGGAACGAAGGCCAACGACCCGTCGCCAAGCAATTGAAGCTCCAAGCCAGCACCAGAAATACTGACTCGAAGGTGCACCTCCCCTGGCACCCACATTGGCACACCGACTGCTTGGCGAAACTCGCCACCCAGTACCTTCGATGCGAAGACCCAGATACGACGTTCATCATGACGACGAAGAGGCTGTCTCTAGTGTGGTAAGCAGCAGCATCGCCCCAAAGCCCTATTGCCAAAGACGCGCTGGGGTCTAGAGCATATATCGCACGCCACCTTCTGAACGTAGCCTCCAGGGCAACGTTGTCCCCGAATCCAAAATACACAGAAGGGTCTGGGCTCTCTCGAACGATGTAATCAGCGATCTCGTGTGGAAGGATAAAGTTACACACGTCTTCCATCTGAGTGTTTGCATCCGTATTCCAGAACTTCACGTTGG